TTCCCACACACCAAGGGACACTTAAGTTAGCTCCAGTGCTGTGAAAGATAATCCTTGGTTATAGACAAAGTCCACCAAGGATATAGGGGAAGAAAGCTGTACACTTGGGAATAGCTAACTATTTCTAATCCTAGTAAATGTGGTAATCACTGACTAATGAACTAATGACAAGTATGTCCTTTCAATTATCTCTATTACAGCTAGAATAATTTTGACAAAACCTCGAAGTCAAAGTTATAAGTTAAACAAAATGTGGTAAGGCTGCAGAAAAATTTCAGCACTTGCATTCTCTTTTATAGATGCTTCCAAAAGGGGAAATATTAGCTCTTTGCGAAAACCTAACTCTCACAGGGCACAGTGGCACATGCCTGTAATCACAGCAGCTCAGGAGGCTGAGGGAGGAGAATCACAAGTTCAAAGCCAGCCTCAGCAACTTAGCGAGACCCTGTCTCAAAATAAAATATAAAAAAGGACTGGGGATGTGGCTCAGTGGTTAAGTGCCCCTGGGTTCAATAACCCCCAAAAAACAAACCAAAACAAAAAAATACCTTTCATCTGGTACACAGTAGAGCATGCCTGTAATCCCAGTGGCTCAGGAGGCTGAGGCAGGAGAAATGCAAGTTCAAAGCCAGCCTCAGCAAAAGCAAGGCAAAAAGCAACTCAGTGAGACCCTATCTCTAAATAAAGTACAAAAAATAGGGCTGGGGATGTGGCTCAGTGATTAACTGCCCTTGTACCCCTCTCCCTGCAAAAAAAAAAAAAAATCACAAAGAACTTTCTAGTTCTCCATATCAACCTTCATGACTATGCAGGTAGATCTAAAGGAGCACAAGAAAGAGACTAGCATTATTAGATAGGATTATACTTTAGTAACTTGGCCTATAATTACTTGTATGCTTAAAAACTTATTTTGAAGTTCTCAATCCAAAGACACAAAAGAACTTATTGCAAAGATCATCTAAAGTTCACAGAAAGAAAGAAGATCAAAGTTGGTCTAGTTCATCATCATATTTACCAGTGCCCACCAATGAATACCCTCAACAAGAATTTACTGAGGGTTAACCATGTACCAGACCTGGTGCTAGCTAGGCCTTGGGAAATAGCCATACGTAATACAGTCTCTGCTCTCCAAAACTAATACTCATAAAAGAGACTTGACTAGAACTAGGAGAAAATGAACAGAAAATAGGCCAGTGTTAATAACCTAAGAGTTTTAGAAAGACAAGATTTATTCTTTTTCCCCCAAATGGTTACTTGTCTGGCCTCCTTATAACACCCAGGCCTCTGCCCAAAAGTCACTCAACAACAGATGGCCCTCTGACAACACAATATTAATACAAATCATTCCCCAACACCCACCCCTCTCATCTGCTCATTCTCCTTCCTCATTATCTGCTTTATTTTCTTCACAGTGTTGATCACTATCTGGAATCATATTATTTACACATTGGACTCTGTTCCTCTACTAAAATATAAGTCCCACAAGAGCAGGACCTCATTTGTCTTGTCTACTGCTCCCTCCCTTTCACCTAGTATAGTGGCTGGTGCACAACAGGCATTCAAAAAACATTTGTGGGGGCTGGGATTGTGACTTAGAGGTAGAGTGCTTGCCTAGCATGTGTGAGGCACTGGGTTTGATTCTCAGCACCACATACAAATAAATAAAATAAAAAATTTCATCAACAACTAATAAAAAATATTAAAAAAAAAAACATTTGTGGAATGGAGGTGCTCCCACCAGTGAAGTACACACTAAGGATATTTATAGATTTTTCTCACCCAGAAGAGCATCAATTCTCAAAGAAAGCCTCACTCAACCCTGAAAAAAACAGAAGTCAAGCTAGTTATGAGAATCAATAACCAGTGAAAAATTCTGAAATCTCTGATTTGGAAACAAAGGAAACAATTAAGCAATGGTGCTAGGAAAGTATTTTCATGCACTGCCCTTTTTATAATGACTCTAAGTTACATAGTTTGTTTCCAGAATGTTCTCTGATCAGTTATCATTCATTCAAATAAATATCAACATAACTGAATTTCTATGAAAAAGATCAATACATAGACTAAGAATTATTTTTTAGTCTTATTGTAAAACAACTTTTTTTTTTTGCTTTTTTCCCACAGTGCTAGGGATGGAACCCAAGGCCTCATGCATATTAAGCAAGTGCTCTACCACTGAGTTACATTTCAAGTCCTAAAGTAGCTATTTTTAAAAGGTTTCTAATAGAGCTGGGATAGTTATAAAGTTACAAAGTAAAATTGGCAGCTAGTACACCAATGCTAATGAGACTATAAATTCAGGACAGACTCTCCTACAATGGTACCCTCTATAGTACCCTGGCATAACACTAGATACATAGTAAGTACTTTACTAACATTTATTTATTGAGTTATGAAGAACTTATTCTTGGTATCCATTTTGGTATAGAAAAATAATGTACAAAACCCATCAAATAACTAAAGACTTGCCAAATTCTTAACAGAAAAAGGTACATGGAAGGGCTTTGAGTTCCACACTGAACCAAAAGCCGTAAGAAAAAAAGTAGCTGTATAGAAAGATATTTACCATTGCATCCTGGAACCCTTAAAAATGGGATCTAGCTACATTATAACTTTTACTGCTCCAAATAGTGTTCTAAACTTGGGAGGTGGAGGGAATCAATCTTGGAAATGTTCCAAGAGGATGAATCCAGTTAGTCCTAATCAATAAATGGCAAACTAGCAGATGAGCTGATGGGTTCTTTTATGTGCTTCTTTTTGCCTATTTATTTTCTGCAGTGAGCAGCACCACTTTCGTAAAAACAAAACAAAAAAAGCTTTCATTAAAAAAAAAATATTTAATGACTTGAAAGCCAACAAATAGGACAACTATTACTTTTTTTATCCCTTTCTCTAAACAATAACCATGTTGTTTTTGTGCACAGATTCAACTGGCAGGGAACCTCTGATTACCAGATGTCATGGTCAGATGTGTTCTAGTCACTGATAAGGTGCTTTCTATTGTAAACAAGGCACTCTTAGAGTCAGTTAGCCCTTGGTAAGGGCTTTGCAGTACAGTTAAGGCTTCAAATTAAGTGTTCAAGCAAAGCCTCATGGTCCCATTTCAAAAGTGCTAGGAGTCTCCTGCACCCTATGGCCAGCTGGACTAGATCAAGGATTTGCAAATATTTTGGTTTCGGGAGCATTTTACTTTCCTATCCATGGAGGACCTCACAAAGATTTGGATTATGTGAATTATAACTATCGGTATTCACTGTAATAGAAATTAAAATTGAGAAATAAATAACACACAAGAACATTAGAGCCATCAGGATGTTGATATCATCACACATTATGTAGCCTCTGGAAAACTCCACTGTACCCTGGTGAAAAGGCAAGAGTGAAAAGGACAAACACCTTCTTAGTATTATTCTGAAAAGTTTTGATTTCAGAGACCCCCAGAAAAGGTCCTTGAGAATGACTGGATTAGATAATCAAGATTCCTTCTGATGCTATGATTCTGAAGCAGGGTTTCTCAACCTGGACACTATTAACACTTTGAAGCAGACAATTCTTTGTTGAGAAGGGCTGCCCTGTGCCTATAGGAAATTTAGCAGCATATCTGGCCTCTATCCACCAGATGCCAAAAGCAATCCCCCAGTTGTGACAACCAAAAATATCTCCAGATATTGCCAAATATCCCCTGGTGGAGAACCCACTCTTTCAGGGTGTTGATTTTATTCTACTAAAATTTGAATTACAAAATGTTTACCAATCATTGCCTTCTCAGACTTCCAAATAGGTCTATTTCTTTCCCACTCCCATCTGGGTCTGTTCCTTCTTTTCTTTCAAGTCACAAACAGCAAGAGTCAGTGGGTAACAAGCTCAGTACAAATCAGGTCAGGAAGAGCCATTCTGGTCAAAGTGCACGTTTAGGCATTAAAGCTGTTAAGGGCCCAAGGTCTATTGGGGCACAGCACTATCAGCTAACATTCATTCACCCAGACATTCTTAGGACCTGATAACAACCCAAATTACCTACCCTTTCCTCCAAAAAAAGAGGTAGCAGAATAATTGAGTGATGGGGAGGAAGAAAACAAGAGATTCTGAGAGCAAAGAGGTAGTATACAAAACTTAGATACACAACCACCAAAACCTCTCATCTGGGAAGCTTTCCCAACTGAAGCATCTGGGGATTTTTTGATCAGGGTCTGGCTGGGAGGAAGTAGCACAACTGATAGAAAATCCACATTCGCAACACCTCCAAGTCGGATATTCACTCCCCACCAAAGACCTCACCCATCCTTTGAGTCTTGGTCCAAGTTTTCTCTCCTGAAAATTGCCCCCAACCTACCTACGTCCCTTTACCCTTAAAACTCTGAGAAGCAAACGCCAAATCCAGTATCATTCCTCATGTCTTCACTCACCCTTTACTCCACAACCTCAAATTCCTACCTACAAAACCCCTAGCTCCCTGCCCTCCAGCTCTACTTTCCTCTCTTCTCCCCACCCAAACTTCCCCCGCCGCCCCACAGCCTGGCCGCCAGCTAGTTCACGCAGGTACAGTGTCTTCCCTCCCAATCTCCTTTCTCACGGTATAGTTTTTCCACCATCTTCAAAACTCTTCCCTGATCCTTGGAAACCAAGAATCCCCTAATTTTCTCTGCCGCCCCAAAATTTGCATGTACCGCCCTCCAGCGCTCACTCCTCAGTGTCTTCCCTAAGTTACACTTTCTACCCCGACCTCCTCCACTCTTCACTCTTTCCTGCCTGCTCCCTTGACGTCCACCCCCCACCCCTACTTGCCCCTTGTTACTCTCATGGGCCCTTATTCCCCGCCATTCTCGGTCAGGCCTTCTCTAGGTCACTGCTCGTCTCCCAGGGGCAACTGCCGCCGCCCAGTGTCAGCTGCTGAGCTTCTCAGCTCCCTCCCCCTCAGTCCTGTCTTTCAGGTTGTGGCCTTTGAACCTGCGCCCCGGGCCCAAGCTGAGAAACTAATCTGAAGGGCCCGGACAACTCACCCAGGACGAGACAGAGCAGCAGAAGCCCGGAGCCTGAAAGCCGGGAGGGACGGAAGTACACCATGATCCTACAGGGCTGGAGGCGGCGGTGACAACAAGGGCAGCAATACCAGCGAAATGGCTCACTGGACCTGGGGACAGCGCACGGGTGACCACCGACCACAGCGCTGTGAGAGCCAAGAATCGCCGCTTCAGCCCGAGTCATAAGACCAGGGGCGGGGCTCTTTCTTGCGTTCAGCCAATCCCCACGCTTGAAAGCGGCGAGAGGGGTGGTGATGTAGGGGCTGGTGGGCGGGGCGACCACGCCCTGGCTTTTTGGTTCACAACCGTTCTTTAGTTCCTAGGATATTTGCGCGGACGGTATTTTCCAAAGCTAAGGAGAGAGGATGAACTTTTGAGGACTGTAGATAAGAGATTATTTCTGTTCTGGCCCTTTAAGGAAGAAAAAGAGATTTGCTTACAAAAAGCAGTGTTAGGCATACAAAATAATATATGATTATTCTTAAAACGCTGTTATTAACTATGTAGTTTATACTAGTAGATGGGCCAGGAAGCTAGGGGTTACTGTGGAGTCACTGACCACCAGAGGAGGACGTGGACTTAAAGTTCACCAAGTTACAACACCCTGTTTTTCGGATGGGGAAATTGAACTCAGAAAGAGGAACTGTCTTTTTTTTTTTTTTTTCCTTTCTTTCTTCTTCTTTTTTTGTACCGGGAATTGAACCCAGGGACACTCAATGACTGAGCCACATCCTCAGCCCTATTTTGTATTTTATTTAGAGACAGGGTCTTCACTGAGTTACTCAGCATCTTGCTTCTGCTGAGACTGGCTTTGAAGTTGCGATTCTCCTGCCTCAGTCTCCAGAGCTTCTAGGATTGCAGGCAAGCACCACCACACCCAGCTTGGGAACTGCCTTTTTTTAAATACAGGAAGAAAAAAAAAATGAGAGACATAGAAGGATTAAGTGTTAGGGTTAATTAAAGATCACTCACGTAGGGTTGGGATTGTGGCTCAGCGGTAGAGTGCTCACCTAAGCACGTGCTAGGCCCTGGGTTCGATCCTCAGCACCACATAAAAATAAATAAATGTACTGTGTCCAACCACAACTAAGAAATTTTAAAAAGATCATTCATATTATTACCCAGATAGATCTGTTAACATTCTATACATGTATTCTGTAATGGTATATTTGCCAAGTGAAAAGACAAAACCTAAGGCAACAGATCAAAGCATCCGAACACCCTAAAAATCTCAAGTTGGAATAAAATGCTGATTCTCAAATGTTAGTCTTCAAAAGAATCATCTCACTGTTTTTAAAAACAACTGATACCAGTACCTCATTTCCCAGGGATTCTGAAATAGAAAACCTATGGTAGGCCTACATATATGTTATTTACTTTTTCTTTTTCCTTTTTTGGACTGGGGATTGAACCCAGTAGCACCTTTCCACTGACCTACATCTCCAGTCCTTTTTTATTAAAACTGAATACCAAATTATTTTTTATATCTCATTTTATTTATTTTTATGTGGTGCTGAGGATCTAACTCAGTGCCTCACACATGCTAGGCAAGTACTCTACCACTGAGCCACAACTCCAACCCCTCCAGTCCTTTTTGCTTTTCATTTTGAGACAAGGTCTAAGTTGCTAAATTATAGAATAAATTGCTAAATTGCTGAGGCTGGCCTCTAACTTGCAATCCCCTTGTCTCAGCCTCCAGACTAGCTGGAAAGGCATCCTTCACCACACAAGGAAAAATCTGATATTATCTTTAAACAAACACTCTCTTGATGTTGTTGTCCTTGGGCCACACTTTGCAAAACACTAAAATACAACTTCAAAATCCTCTAGTTCAGGAGATCTTCACCTGGGGTCTATAAATGTGCTTGGGCATAGGTTTGGAGTGTGGGAAGGCTCTTCAGTGAATTCAGTGAATTCCTAGAACTTACATGTGACATTTATGTATGTGTATTTTTGGGGGGAACTTTATAGCTTTAACTAGTTCCCAAATGGAACCTGTGACTCCCCACCCTAGTCCTCACTCCAACCCAAATGTTAAGAACCACTGATGGGGGCTGGGGGTATAGTTCAGTTGGTAGAGTGCTTGTCTGGCAAGCAGAAGGCCCTGGGTTCAATCCCCAGCACCAAAAAAAAAAAAAAAAAAAAAAAAACACCACTGATCTGCCCATACTATCATTTACTTTAACTTGGTTAACTCCTGAAAGTGAGAATACTGTGATGGGGAAACTAACTCATGAGCAAGTGACTTGCCCAACACAGGCTAATATACACTCAGTATTAGTCATTGCTTTAAGCAAGATGTCATTTGACTGCCTCGCCATCGATAAGATTCAGCTAGAGCTGTGCTGAATCAAAGAACACATGACTTAGGTGAACCCTCAGAAGTTGCCCCACCAATCCTTACTGATGGACTCTGGCCCTTCTCTCTCAAAGCAAGTTGCATAACTTTAATATTCAGCAAAACTCTATGTTCTAGAGGAAAAGACAAAAGAGCCTAGTGGAAAGAGTATTAGATTCGCTGAGAGCTGGGTATGAGACACCACTTACTAGAAGCGTAACCCTGGGAAAATTGCTCCATCTCTTTAAGCTTCTGTATCATTATCTATAAAATGAAATAGTAAGACTAGAACTGTGGTTCTCAATCCTGGCTACACATTGGAATCACTTGTGGAGCTTTAAAATAGAGATGCCTCTTAGTCCCATCCTTTGAGATCCTGATTTGATTGCTCTGGAGTCAGACCTCAGCATGGTAATCTCAAAACCCTCAAAGGCAGCTGGGTACAGTGGTGCATCCCTATAATCCCAGTGACTCAAGAGACTGACACAGGAGGATCACCAGTGAGGCCTGCCTCAACCACTTAGACCCTGTCTCAAAATGAAAAGTAAAAAGGACTGGGGATGTAATTCAATGGTAAAGCTTTATCATTCCAGGGTTCTATATAAGTAAACACTCATTTATTTATTTAAAATATAAGGAATCAGGTGTCTCAAGCAGTCAGATACCTGGTTTAATATATTGCTGCCCTTTATCTCTTGCAAATGTCATCAAATTTACAAAAGAGGGGGCTCGGGATGCAGCTTAGTGGTAGAGTACTTGCCTAGCACAATTTTTGAAAAAGAACACAGTAAAATATGAGCAGTCTCATTAGGTAAGCATTCAACTCAAACAAAAACAAAATTCTGTTTCTTTGCAATAAGGCTGGGCACAGTGGCACATGGCTGTAATCCCAGTAAATTGGGAGGTTGAGACTGAAGATCACAAGTTCAAAGCCAGCCTCAGCAAACTCAATGAGGCCCTAAGCAACTTAGCAAGACCCTGTCTCTAAATAAAAAATAAAAAGGCCTGGGGTTGTAGCTAGTGGTTAAGTACCCCTGGGTTCAGTCTCTTTGCCACCCCACCCCCTGGAAAAAAAAATTGACTGGGATATGTGCCCTCATGAGATAGACTGATGTTTTTGGACATGGTAGACATTTTGTCAGAATAAATAGGCTAAAAATTCTCAAATCTTTGTTGGGTCCGAGTTTCATATTCACAATTGTTTAATGCTTTACCCCTGAAACACTCAGATCTTTCACTTTCTGCATGTCATTATCCTGCCCCAGATTGAAGGAATTTTTCCTGGGCTTTCTGTGGTAGAGGAAGATCTACACATGGGACCAAGGTCCATGTTTGAGTAATTTGGATAGATTCTCTCTTATGCAAGCTTCACATCTGTTCACTCGCTTGCTGATACTGCTGTATCCAAAGCACTTCCATGTGCTTCTTGGCCATACCTCATACCTTTCCAGTGCACAAAACTCCTCAGCAGGCCTGCCTCAACCACTATATGACTCTTTTAAGTAACTTTGAGCGTTCATGACCAAAGAATTTTGGACCAAAGAGTAGAGGATCACTGACAAAATCTTCCTTAAATGTCAAGGCACTGAATAGTGTAAGAAATGTTGAGCCTATTGGATTTCGGAAATGATAGACAATAAAATGTAGGGATGGGAAAAAGAAATGAACTTAAAGGTGCAGAGATTAAAACTGGTAAAATGATGAACACATTAAATAAACAAGTGGCTGTGAGGGAATAGTGTCATCTACTTGCTACCATGTGATCTTTATTTTTTAAATTTTCATTCTCTCTTTTTTTATGTTCTCATCCTCCTTTTAATTTATCTTACACTCTCTCTTCCCTTTCTTTTCTAGCATTTTCTCCTTTTCTGGATAATGCCTTCAGGCTGTACAGTGTGGTGATCACTCAAATCCTACAGAGAGATGGGGTGGAGGGGTTGCCAACTCTTGAGCTGGACCTCTCTGGGGAAATGGAAGTATGCCATTTTGCTTTTGCGTTTGTTTTCCCCAGAAGGTTTCTCTTTAACCTCCCCTGGGAAAACAACCAAGCTAATCAGCTAAAATGACATGTTTCTCACCTTTGAGCCTGCATTACAATCACCTGAAGGACCCCACTGCAAATCTGACCAGGAGAGGAGAGCATTAGAATCTGCTTTTTTAGCAACTTCCCAGGTGACCCAGACACTGCTGGACTGGTGACCATACTCTGAACCCTGGGATCCTGAACTCAGGATTCCCTGTCCTTGGCGGATGTGATTAAGAAGTGGGGAAGGGAAGGAAAAGGGGATTGGGGGAAGGAGGAAGGAAAAGGAGATAGGGAAAAGGGGGGATCATGAACTGAAATTGAATTCCATGCACATATAAATTTGTCATAAAAACCCAAAACTATGTATAACCATAAAGCTCTAATAAAAAAGTGGGGGACTTATATTAATTTCTGCAGTATTTATATTTGTATAACAAATCGATTGTTTTTATAATAATGATTTTTAAATTAGTTAAGGCAAATCATTTTAAAAATCAAATAATTTTGGAAAGTATGTGTGCTGGAAACGTAGTTCAGTGATTGATCACTTGCTTATCATGTATGAGGCTCTGGGCTCAATCCTCAGCACCAAAAATAAAAATATAGAAACAAGTATAAAATTCATATATAACCAGAGGAATGAAAAGCTGTGCTCCATTTATGTAAAAAAATAAAATTAAATAAATTTTAAAAAGAAATAAGTATAAAATCAAAAGAAAACACTTTTTCCCATTCCTTGCATCCCATTCCCTCTCCTCAAAGCAACAACTGTTAACAGCTTCTCTTTATGTACTCTTTGGAAAAAATATATGCACA